GACTTTAATGCTCAAAGGGAAAAAAACCAGTGTTTTACCATGGTAACAATGGTTATGTCAGGAAATGAAATAATGTGTCTGTGCTCTGCTCTCCTTTGCTACTTGTTGGAGTTACATGGGAAATCCCTGGTTTTGTAGGGAGTCACAGGAACTGGCATACAATTGGTTATGAATATAGAGACTGTTTTTCCAGAAGCTGAAGATCAGCATTTTGCCCATATGAGATTGGTATAATAATGCTGACTTCATTCATGAAGGCCCTGAAGGTCTGTGAATGAAAAATATTCCATAAAGTGAAGTGCTATCTGCCCGAGCCACAGTTTCCAAAGAAGGGTTCTTTGGCAGAGATGACAGAACCGTTAAGTCTGCAGTGTTCGGCACTGTTTCTTTTTCTGTTTTCTTTCCCTGCTGTTTCTGGTGCTTGGAAACAGCTTTTGAAAACATGTTTGTGGACATTTCTAATGAGGCTTTTTGGAATGTGGCAAGTATTTAGAAAACAATTCCTAATGCAGGCTGGAAAAGCATGTGTTTTCCAATCAGTTTTGTTCATATCTCCTTGGTAAACATTGATTTTTCTTTTTTTAGCTTGTGGTTCAAATGGAGCTTGAAATTAAAATAGCTCTGTTTGCTCACCTTCTTGTTTGCCTGCCACTATTGCTGAGCTCAGCACTACTCTAGGAACAGCTTTGTTAATTGTTTTACTCCTTCTGGCGGTTTTTACTTTAGCAGAGTTCAAATCATGCAGATCCTATACAGCAGTAACTATCACACTGGTTTCTCAGTAACAAATGCTGAATTAAAACGAAAGTATTGCAAGCAGACATAAAATCCTTCAAGATAGATCTGGGAGGGCCCTCCCAGTGATTCCCTGTTACTCCCTGTAGTAGTGAGTGACTTGTGAAGATGCTGAGTACCTAACAAGTGGGGCAGCCCCATGTTTGCCATGTATTACCCCAAGCAGTCCTTCTTTTCAGGCCACCTCAACATACTTAAACTGTAGCCAACACTTCAGTAGTTTAGCTGGGCAAGGCCCAAGTCCTCAGGGTGTAATAAAGTCAAGTCTAAGTTTAACAGTTGGGCTCAATGATCTTAGAGGTCTTTTCCAACCAAAAAGATTCCATGATTGTACAAATTCTGCAGTGTTATGGAGACTTTGCATGGGGAGTCCCAGTGAGGAGTACCTCAGCTCTCTGACACAGTGCTGATGTGTTACTGGGATGGATTTGCCAATACCCAATTCAGAACACAGCAGTACTCTCTCCCTGTCAGAGCTGAAATCCTTTGTCCAACTTGTTTTTTCAATTTTGGGTGTTCAGTTTCCATTTCTTTTCTTAGAATGAAGGTAATGTTTGCTATAATCCCTGACTTAATGTAGAACAATTACAATAAATATTTTTAGAAATCTTACAAATAGCCCAGGGTCAATGTTTAAAAACAGGAGGTAAAGGAGCTACAAAATATTTTGGATGTGAGTTTGTACCACCAACATATATTGTTGAGTACTTGTGCATGGAATCCATTCCCAGGGTGCATGCAAACTAGGCAGAAGAGCTGGGCATTAAGCTGTACATGGCTGGAAAGCGCAAAGGAAATAATGCATGCAAATTTGTTTCATGTCCCTTTGTCCACTGGCTACTTGAGGCAGGAGGATGTGTGAATTTTGGATGCCATAAATTAATCCTACTGTGGCACATGTGCTGTGAAATCATAAGTGAAAGACATGATTCACGTGCAGAGTGTGTGTTGTCAGTGGAGTAGTCTGGGAAATGCATCAGTGTTTTCAAGAGGTACAGTGTGAAGGCCTCTGAGTGATGACACTGGCTATCCATGTGCAGGAATATCCCCATGGTTTGATGCCGAAGGGCCACTGCTGCCAGTGGCCACCACTGCCAGTTCTGCTGCCCCTCTGCCCTCAGGTGCAGGGGTGCCAGGCACCCAGTGCAAAGGAGGGAACCAAAGAAATTCCTCTTCTCTCAGCTACATAGACCTTTTCTAACAGTGGCAATTAGAGCTTTTTGCCTTGCATTAGTTAATGATTGCTGGGTTATTTAATAGATTAGATACAAAATAAACAAGTTAGTTTGCTACAGACTTATCAATTATGATGTCTGATTACTCCTTTGGGGAACATATGTAGCCATTTGTCCTGACATTTTGTTAAAATAGGTGGTAATATGGGACCAATCCACCTAATTCCTTATTCCTGTGGGGCATTTAGTGTACAGAGCTGTTAGAAAGGTGATTTCTGGGGCATGACAGCTGTTGGTGTTGGGGCCATTGTGTGAGTAAACAAAAAGGGTTATATTCGGCTCATACACTGCCTTGTGTCATTGATACAGAAGCCATTTCACAAATGAGATACAACTCTTCCCTGGGAAATTGTATTCCTGCTTTGTATTTCATAGTTGGAGTATGTTAAAATAAACCACCAGCATAGTGCATCAGTAGGAGGTGTTTGACCTTGGTGTTGCCGTGAGGCCTGTTGGGTTTATCCTGCTAACTGCTGATATTCCTGCCTGGTTTTGTTGACTAGGTACATTACAAGTAGTTTCTCTTTGTGTAATTTTTGCCATTTTATTAATTTATAAAAAGCCACATTTCAAAGGAAACTTCACTAATCATTTTTCTTCCAGAAGACATTACTTTTCTAGAAAGCTGCAACCTCTGTGTGCATCCAAAACCCATCCTGTCAGAGTTCCTGTCTGCCACAGACCCAGGGAATGTGCATACATGGGACCAGGAGAGCTCCATGTGTCTGTGTTGGCAGAGCAATGTTGCATGTAGTTGGGGCATAAGCATTTAGGACGTTATAAAAAACAGAGTCCAAGTTTTATTTGAAGCAGTGGGGAATGCCTTTAATAATTGGCACTGGTTGTTTTCATTTCCTAAAGTCTCTTCCGGCAGTGTATATTTCAGTGAAATATGAACGTTTTTTTTCATTTTCTGAAAACTGCAAGTGTTATAGACATACACTCGTTTATTACCAAATCCTATTTACTGGCAGATCCTGCTATGTTTAAAAACACTGGCTTTGGATGGGATTGTTGGGCTTGTCCATAGAGACTTGCTGATGTCCTGTATAACCGTGATTTGGAGCGTTAGGGTCATTGTGTGATTCGGCCTGGTGAGCCCAGGCATTCCTCACCGTAGGCACGTGCTGGCTGTCACACAGCTGACCTCTCTGTTAAGCAGCCACCACGGGCTGGTATACCTTTTAAGCTATCTTCTGGGATTTTCCCAGTGCGGTCCAGTCCCTGGGATGAATCTGGCTCTCACCACTGGATGTCATCATTGCGCTGTGGTGATCTGCAACCCAAAGAACATTTATCTGGCAGTAAAAAATAATGTTGCCTGACCAAAAGCAACATTTAATGTTTGCCCATTCTAAATGACTTGCTATACAGGGATGCCAGGTGGCAAGGAGTTGGTCCATAATCCTTTATTAAGGAACAGGATAGCACTCCAGTGATTCTACAGACAGTTCACCCCCTTCTGTGGTGGGGCTGTGCTGAAACCTCTACTGGGAGGCTCCATCAGTGCAAAGACATAGCATAAAAGATCTCTTGGGGATCTCGATGTGCCATGTACTTCTTGAGAAGGCCAATGTAATTACCATAGCTTTAAAATAAAATAACTCTTCATCTATTGAGTTACTCTGTCAACTAATATATAGAGAATATATTTCTACTGTAATTTCATAGGAGGAATTTAGAGGACTTAATTTTATTAACCCTCTGTCTCCTATTTGTAGCAGAGGAAAACCTGTTAGAAGCAGATGTGCCATGTACTTCTTGAGAAGGCCAATGTAATTACCATAGCTTTAAAATAAAATAACTCTTCATCTATTGAGTTACTCTGTCAACTAATATATAGAGAATATATTTCTACTGTAATTTCATAGGAGGAATTTAGAGGACTTAATTTTATTAACCCTCTGTCTCCTATTTGTAGCAGAGGAAAACCTGTTAGAAGCATTAGATCCTGCCTAATTTTTTTTTGAATTTATAGGAGAGGTTTCTGACTAATAACAAAAGTGGCTCCGTTTTATATTGGTCTTCCCAGTGCAGTTATGAATCTGCAGTTATGGATTCTGCAAAACGGGAATGTCTGCAACCCAAAGCAATCAGAGAAATGCAGTGTGATGTACACCAAGATGGAAAGTATTTCCCTGTCTTTCATCAGAAATTTGTAAGCTAAATTTAGTTCTGGGCAGTAAAAATCAGCTGTCAAATGCAGTATTATGTCTTGGCTCTTTCCGGAGTATTACCTTTGAGAATCTCTGTCAGGCAGTGAGACCTAGAGATACATGAAAAAAGAATATGTGGAGTTTATTGCCTTAGCCAGAGTGTGCATTAAGCAGTACAGAAACTGCAGTTTAGTAATTACAAATGTTATGGTAAGATTTGTGGCTGGAGGGTTGAATTCAGTGGCACTGAGGTATTCATTTACTCATGTGTCAGCCTGTCTTTCCAGGTAGTTGCTCTGTATTTAAGAAAAGTCAAGGATAATTTTGGAAGTGAATTTTCAATCAAACACATAAAGACACTCAAAATATAAGTTCCTAATTAATTTAAGTAAAATCATTTCCATAAATAAACCACTTCCATAAATAAACCAGTAAAAACTGCTCTAGAAGATATAAAAACTGCTTTAGCGGTGTGTAAATGCATGTTCTCCAGGTGTTTGCCGAATGGCAGTAAATAGCAGAAGTGATGTTTTGTCCTCTCCTACAAGGACTCCAGAACATCTAACTCAGGAGAATCCAGAGCATTCAGCTTTGCTGTTTTTCTGTGCCCTATTAAACGTGCACATATTTCAGCATTTTAGTACCATTTATTTGGTGCTGTGCACAGAAATACCATGGTATTAGTCACATCAGTGAGCCATAAGAAGTTTTGTATGAATGCAAGGTAACACAGCTCGGAGAGTTTAATGATTCTTAGCAGGCTTTGGCTGTTTTTTTAATGCATTTCTATGTCTTGTGGCATATTTTTTTGCAGTCGAGTTATTCTTTGAACCACATAAATAGAAAGCTGGTGCTGGAATCTAAAGTGTCTATCAACACTAGAATTGTGGTGGTTGGTGCATCTGATGTCGGAATCTCTTTTCTGGAAACACTGATTTTTTGGTAAGATTTCAATTTTATTTCCTTTACTGAGATGAATGTGTTTGCTTTTGTTCGAAGGGGCCATCTAAAGTGTTCTGAGTCTGTCTCTGAGTGCTCAAAGTTAAAGGTCTGAGCACCTATGGATGTAATGAGGTAGGTACTGTCACTCTGCCCTCACTGTCTCTGGAACTCAAAGGGTTCTGAGCAACTCTGAGCTGCTCATACATCCTCAAGGTGAAGGCACACTGAAAATGAGAATTCCACACACTTAAAGTCTCTTTGGCCTTTGTTCTTACACCAAAATCTTATGGGTGAAGGTGAAGTAATTGACTCTAAAAGCCAGTCATGCCCAGTAGGATCCCAAATCACTGCTGAATCCCCACTTCCCTTCCCTTGTTTTCAGAGCTGTGCAGGAGTGTGCCACATGAGCTTGTTGAGTTGTCATCTCACCGTGATTCTTTTGATCCTTATAACACCTTTTGATCCCTTTGATTCTGATGAGGATTTTCATGTTTGGGATTGTTCAGGAATAAAAAACCATTGTCCTTTCTGGGCCTTCTGCCATTTTTTGCTGCAGACCTGAGCATGAGTGTGGGGAAGGTCTAGCAAAGGACACTGCTCTTCAGCAGTGATCCCACCAGGAGCACAGGCTGGCAGCATTCACTAATACATTTTTCAGCAGTAAAACTGCAAATCAAATTGCTGTGATTACCTGGAGTTATCCAAACCAGAGTAAATAGCTGTATGAACTCATGGAGAAGGGGAATAAATGTACACAACTGTTTTTATACCTTCCCCTAAGGCAGAGAAAACTTGTGTGTGAGTTCTGCCATTTTACAGCCTTCCCAAAGTGTTCCTCCTGTTCTCAGCAACATTTAGGCTTTCAGTTCCACTTGAAAGTGAGTTTAAAATGTACTTTACAGCTATTAGTCCCTTTCTTGTTACTCACCCTGTACTGTTTATTTCTGTGCTTTCAATATGAAATACTGTGAGGAAAACCAAAGTGGGTTTCTGCTCCAGGTGTCAGCCAGCCTATGAGGCTGTCTGTAGTGAACAGTCCTTTACAGGTGTTCCCCTTGGAGCTCCCTGAGCTAAGGCTTTTCAGACAGGAGTTTAGTTTGATACATGTTCTAGCAGAGTTCCTGCAGGACATGTCCTTCTTCTGCATAGGGAAAAGAGAGAGAGAGAGAGCTTGTCTTAGTGCCTCAGAGACACGCCGAGCTGCTCTGAGAGTCACAGCACCAGCAGTCAGCACTAGTGCACAGTATCAGAATTATATTAATAGAGGTATAAATTTAAGAAAGATTATTTTTTAATTCTCACATCAGCAGCAAATAGCCTCCTGATCAATGTGAAGGCCTTTTAAAACAATTTAGTTTAATTTACTCATAATTTTCTAATATTCCCTGCAAAGGTTACATGCACTAAAAATAGCTGGATTGAATCAATTTGTGAGCCCTAATCCTTAAAAAGAGGAAGTCGTTTTCTCGTTGTTATTCTTCATACTTAATTATTTTACATTATCAGTCACCATGGAAACACACAAATGTAATTCACTTACCGACATGGCAATTATTAGAACTAGATCTTGCAAGTGTTTTCAACTTCTTTGAGACTGAAGAAATATGCTTTTCATTCAGCAGAGCAATAACCCTGAGAATGAGCTCTTCTCCCCCATGGCTCCTGCTCCCACTGTGCCATGGGCACATCCCGGGGCACAGTGCTTCTGGAGCTGCTCAGTGAGCACTGCTGCTCACCCACCCGAGCTCTAAATGAGCTTTAGAATCCTCCATGCACACGGGGCAGTGCGTGTGGGGAACTGGGACCTCACACACTGCTGCAGTCAGTGCCTGCTGCAGGAGTCCCTGGAAGCAGGCAGTCCCAGAGGGCAGAGTACTGCTGCACCCACCAGAGCTCCTGATTTCACGGGGCACTGTGGAAATGCTGCAAACAGGTATGTGGAATGGCCTGCGAGTGAGGGGAGCTTCTTCCTAATCCTAGGGTGCTCTGAGCCCTGGGGAGTTGTGTCTCTGTGCTTCATCCAGTGTTGGGGCAGTGCTGGTGATACCATTATTCAGGTTTCACCATTGAAATAAGTTACCTCCTGCTATTTTTTTCCCCTTGGAATGTAATCACATGTGGACATGTGTTTTCAGCTATAATGCTGCTTTTCTTGGGGGTACACATAGATTTTTTTTTTTGGTGGTAGAGGTGGCAGTGCTGGCAGTAGCAGGGGCAGAGCCTGAACTCTTGCCTGGTGCCATGATGGTGGTTGGGTGGTATAGGTGTGACAGTGGCTGTTGTGCTGAGCTAAGATGCTGTTGCATCATGTGCTGCTGCAGTAATTAACTTCCCTGCAGGAGCATGGCAAGCAGGGAAGGAGTTGTGATTCCCACAATTCCCGCGTGAGGCTCCTCCTGGGCAGTGCAATTCTGTGCTTCCCCTTGCACAAAGCCAGGCCTTGGGTCCCTCTCCAGCACCACGGCTACTTTCAGTTTCCATTGAGTGACTTGGTCTTGGAAGGGAAAGGGGAAAAAATAAAAGAAAATCAAAAGAAAAAAGGCAAATAGTTTTCTCAGACGTTCTGGCAAATCCCTGAGTGCTCCTGCTTACACCTGCAGTCCTGTGAGCTACTGCATTGGCAAACTATGAATGAAGACCCTACAAAAAGAGTCTGGTTTAAGACTAAAGGAAGTTTTAAAGAAATTACCCTTTTTCATCATCCCCTCTGAGCTCAAGTATGCATATCCTAAATTTATAATTGAAAAAGTAATTTTAAATATTCAACCTGCAAGTACTCAGTGATGATTTTACCTGAAAATGATTTGCAAGTGTAAAATCTGTTCTCATGAATACAGAATGTCAGTAAACCTGAATGAAGGAGAAGGGAAAATGAGTTCAGTATAGAGTTCT